GTCAACTTTATAGGCACATATCATGCAATATTTTTTGGGGAAAAAATTGTACAGCACACCAAGGACTTTATTGATCAAACCAAGAAAAAAAATTTATGTACATGTTCCCCTCTTCGCAACGTAGTTTTAATTGGTTCCTCCATTGAGGTTCGGCATACTTTTTGCCCTGTACTCTTTGTTCTTAAATTCATGACGGTAGTCACACAAAATTTATTTCTGCAAGTACCATACTTGGTCAGGAAGAGTGTTGTTTGTCGTACTCACAAAGCAGGTACCATTGTATGTCCCAATCAAGGCCAATTTGTTGAACCATGACAGAACAATGCATGAAACATATGAAGGGGGAAATGGAAAAAAAATCAAGGTATTGGCATACCATTAGCAGGAAAACACATCCAGTTGCACCGCGATGACCTTTATACTTGCGAACACCGTTGTGAAGGAATTGCAGTGTCAACTTTAATCAATTACAAGCTCGCATACGATTCACGTCCTTCACGGCATGAATGAACGATGGCTTCAACCCGGTCATTGTGGTAGGACACAACATGGCCCCCAACACGTACAGCGCAAATTTCCGCCGAAACTCATCCTCCGCACCAGCAGTCTCGGTCAGATAAAGTCTCAACTTGTTCAAAGGAATGACTCCGTTAATAACTCCAACCTCATCGTAGATATTGGAATATGCTTCCAATGACCCAGCCAACTGCACGTCATCGCCTTCACACCGTATTCCCAATAAAACATTAACTGCCTTACACGTGAGCCTGACTTGACAACCATAAACATTCAATGAACTACTGTCAGGATCGAAGTTCTGTACCAACCATGCGCACAAGTCGTGATCTATACGTGTACACTTCATTCCCAGGAGGCCAGCAAACCCAATGTCAATGACTGCCTGCTTTTGTGCTTCGTTGAACCGGTTAACTAGCTCAACAATTGACTTCAATGATATGCGGAGTTGCCTTTTACCCTGCACATTTTTTACCCTTAAATAAATACAAAAAAACAACCAACAATGTCAGCAAAGCAGGACCTAGCCAAATGCATTTACGAAAACATGAAGTACGTAATGACCTTTTCAGACTTCGGTGCACATGGTACTACTTTGGCGTGTTCCTCAGCGCTCGCCTTAGCCATTTCCACAAACCTCTTTTTCTTATCAGAGGGGAGTGCCTTCCACCTTTCCCCAATCTCCTTTCTAGTCTTTAACCAAGAAAATGACAGACGTACAAGACAAGTAACAACTATGAGTCCAAAATTACTGTAACTACAACTTTATGCCAAACGCAATCCGCGTGCATTGTTGGTAATTAAATAAGATTGCAAATACAAATAACAGTTGCAGTAAAAAGTCAGCGGCAAAACGTAGCTAGACTTTTACAACGAATTGAAATTTACAAAAACAATAGGAAGGTGACATTATTACATGCTACAATCCTACAAACGCGAAACAATCACAAGCCCATTACGACCATTCAATACAACGTGTGGATAGCAACCCAGCGATGTGTTTCCATCATAGTGTATTATAGAGAATACAGATTTCGACACTCACCATTTTTCGTCGAGTGTTGTCTGGCCCTTGCATTTCCTTGAATTGTTGCTGGCTGCATGCAAGCATCGTCAAGCTTATCATCACTAAATGTGAAATATGAATACATATATATATATATATATGCAAGTTTTTATGTCACGCTGGCCCTGAAATCGGCATAAGACAGCTTTCGTACATCCGGGACTGAATCGACACCAAGTTAAACATTTTCAGACATGCGGAACAAAACCAATTTGAAACATCACAAACTGAACTTCAACAAGGCGCATAATTTCAGTACGAAAAATGTAATTCCAGATTGTCAAAATAAACAACTAGTACCTGTAACAAATGAATGGTGCAACTGGCCGCTTTCGACAAGAGCCAGCGATAGTGTCAGACATTTGGATATGTTGTTCGGCAATTGTCTTCAATCTTTTCCTTCCCCTTATGAAAAAGCAAATCATACAAATTAGATGGAAGGGAGAATTACAGGGGTGGTGTACACATTTTGTCCGTTGTCTAATTTCGATCGATGCACTTTAAACTACCTAAATTGTGACAGTCCATTTCAAATATCGTGGACATTTTCGGTCAAATTGCTAATGCCGTTTGTCATTTTTAAAACAAAGATTGTAATGTCAATTGATTCAGATTATGTAAGTTCAGTAAAGTTATAAGTTGACTACAACAAAAAATACAGTTGCCACGTATATGCATATTTTCTGATACAAAACAGTGAAGAGTTGAAATCAAATGGACGTAATTGAAACAAAAGTTCAAAATTGATGGTGCAAAGCGAGGCCATTCAAAATTTCCTACTGCAAAACAAATAACACAAACACAAAAGTACAAGGGCTGCTGTAAGAATTGATCCGGAAAAAAATCAGCGTATTCCTTGGTGATGGATTTCGTTTGTTTACAAACATATGTACCAAACCAACTGGTAGCAAGTCTTTAAGGAGAAAACTAACATTGTTGGTGCGAGGTGACCAATATCCATCAGATGCAATGACGACAACTCCTGCAAAGTATTGCAATCAATATTTACAGGAACACAAACAAACGGCTGCAACATGTGGCTGTTAACCTTAAAATTTTGCGTAAACACAGACAACAACACGCAGAATTTCCCAACACATATACAGATTTTGAAACAGACAAAAGAAAGGGCACACATGGAAATTTTGCATTTCGTTCACACAGCTTACAATTAAAACAATTATGTGTACAAGCGATAAATGCATAATTTCACAAATATTCAAGAGGAAGGACTACATTGTGTTTTTCATTTAGGGCTGAAGGACTACACGCACATACTTTTATGAAGGCCCGACTACAAAGGACAAAGAAGCAACTGAACTATTTCAAGACGGGGTTAAACAATCAGGACACGATTCTTCTGTGACAGAAATTGGTGCTCATCCCAGGCACAAAAACCAGATGAAACCCCATCCATCAAGTTGAGGGCTTCAATTTCCTACTGAGCAACTTGGTTACAGAGAATCGAGGTGGCTGCATCGTGGCCCACGCTCCATTACCTTCGGGTGGTCAGACAGTGGGCAGATCAGAGAAGAATACTTTTCCGGGCGTACAAGCAAGTTTCATCAATTGTATGTCACAATGAAACAAGCAAGGAAATTGAAGCCCTCAACTTGATGGCTGGCCTTTCCAACAACTTAAGTGGCCGGAGACGATGGCTGAAAACCAATACCTTCTCCCCACCTGAGTCGGTCAACCCTAACAGATTAAGGAAGAAGTTTGGCTTCAGTCCTTGTCTAATATCCAACTTTTCTAAGATGTGGTCCATCCGGGCATCGTCAATGCCCTCTGTTTCTGTGGTTGACGTGTCTGTAGGTGAACTCTTTAGGAGGGATCTCAACTGTGCGTGCACATACAGTGTGCTCCCATCCGAGGTGATGTTCAACTTCTTAACTACATTGTTTAGTTCTTCAACTTCACGAACTGTCGTAAGGGTGTGGTGAAGAAATTCATAAAAGTCAACAAGCCCAGGCAATTCACGAAGAAAATCTCATTCGTAGAAATGGACAACCTTGCCTGCCATTGCAGGCAACTTTTGAATGACGGTTACCTTTCTCTTGAAGTTATCATCTTGCATATATATACAGCAGTTACATTTGAAGAGGAAGGTAGAATAGAGGTTTATATAACATAGTTAAAAGTCAAATTTTGACTTTTAATCTATTTTGACACATTTAAAAAAAAAAATTAAAAAATCAAAAAAATCAATTTTTAACTAACTTATCAAAATATATACAAAAGACCTATTAAAATGGACCACCGACTGTCCTATGATGTTTGGTCGCCACATTGATTGGTAATGATAATAATGCAATGCAATATTGTAGATATTTATATATGTTTCAACTTTGAACATGGTATATTTATCAAATCAAATACTCTTATTCATATTCATATTTAATAATGATGTGATGTAGTAATTGATCTTATAGAGTGGGGTTCATATGCCTAAAGAAGCAATTTTGTCGGCCCCTTAACAAACATTCTCTCCTCTCACAAGTTACCTTTAAAATTGGATATATATTAGAATTATGTTTGAATTATAAATTTAAACAAAATTTTAAAATAAAAAATAATAATGTGAGGGATTCCAAAGTCCTACTCACATCTTCCCCAAGGGACAAAAGTCATTTGCATGATGGGCACAAGCTGAACATCGAAGAAGGTGGGGACAACAACAAGAAGGGAGGCCTTCAGTCAGGGGAAACATATGAAACTGAAGATAAATACAGTCCTGACCTTCAGTCAGTGGGCGTGAAGAACGTGGCGTGCGATGTGCATACTTCTCGGTATGTTAGTAATATTTGTTCGCAGGCAGTGGCAAACTTCTTCCTTAATCTGTTAGGGTTGTCTGACTCAGGTGGGGAGAAGGTATTGGTTTTCAGCCATCGTCTCAAGCTCATGATAGTGGTTGACGTGTCTGTAGGTGAACTCTTTAGGAGGGATCTCAACTGTGTGTGCACATACAGTGTGCTCCCATCCGAGGTGATGTTCAACTTCTTAACTACGTTGTTCAGAGTTCACCTACAGACACGTCAACCACGGAAACAGAGGGCATTGACGATGCCCGGATGGACCACATCTTAGAAAAGTTGGATATTAGACAAGGACTGAAGGCAAACTTCTTCCTTAATCTGTTAGGGTTCTCCGACTCAGGTGGGGAGAAGGTATTGGTTTTCAGCCATCGTCTCCGGCCACTTAAGTTGTTGGCAAGGCCAGCCATCAAGTTGAGGGCTTCAATTTCCTACTGAGCAACTTGGTTGCAGAGAATCGAGGTGGCTGCATCTTGGCCCATGCTCCATTTCCTTCGGGTGCTCAGACAGTGGGCAGATCAGAGAAGAATACTTTTCCGGGCGTACAAACAAGTTTCATCAATTGTATGTGACAATGAAACAAGCAAGACTGCCACTGCCTGCCAAAAAATATTACTAACGTACCCATCCATTCTCATTCTGCACGAAGGTCATAAAAAAGACAAATGAGAGTACGCATTTCATTTCTACGCTCAATGAAGTTCAAACAGCCCGCAACTCATGAATGACAGCTACCTTCCTCTTCAAATGTAACTGCTGTATATATATGCAAGATGATAACTCCAAGAGAAAGGTAACCGTCATTCAAAAGTTGCGTGTAATGACAGGCAAGGTTGTCCATTTCTACAAATTAGATTTTCTTCGTGAATTGCCTGGGCTTGTTGACTTTTCTGAATTTCTTCACCTCACCCTTACGACAGTTCGTGAAGTTGAAGAACTGAACAACTTCGTTAAGCAGTTGAACATCACCTGGGATGGGAGCACACTGTATGTGCACGCACAGTTGAGATCCCTCCTAAAGATTTCACCTACAGACACGTCAACCACAGAAACAGAGGGCATTGACGATGCCCGGATGGACCACATCTTAGAAAAGTTGGATATTAGACAAGGACTGAAGGCAAACTTCTTCCTTAATCTGTTAGGGTTGTCTGACTCAGGTGGAGAGAAGGTATTGGTTTTCAGCCATCGTCTCCGGC